GCGCGACGCGCCCTCGTCTCCTTCGTCCTCTTCCTGCCCGAGTACGACGACTCGCAGGACCTTCTTCTGCCGCCCTCCGATCCGTGGATCGCCACCTAGAGATCGTCGTCGACGACCGGCGTCGACGCCAGAGCGTGAAGAGGAATGTCCGGATCGTGCGGCTTCGTTTGCTGTCTCGCGCGGAGGCCGAAGGAGCCCGCGCGTCGGGCGCGAACAGGGCGTCGAAATCCCCTGGAACATAAGAGAGAGAGAGAGAGCTTGATGCTTACTCGCGCGCGTCTTCTTGGATCGAACGAGAGAGTATGACAGAAAGAACGAGTGTGTGCGTGCGTGAATTGAACACTTCCCCGAACGCGAGGCGAATAAGAGAGTCGAGAGATGGAACGAGCGGTCTCCGCCAAAGAAACAAAGCGAGAGGGAAAGGATAAAAAAAAAAACGTAAAAACGAAGAAAAAAATCATACCAGAGATGAATAAAATAAAAATAAAGGCAGCTGGCCTGTCGGTACGGCGGAGCTTCCGGTTTTAGGATTCACTAGGTTCTTAAGAGGTCCGCCCTGGGTGGTGCAACGGGCATCCCCCCCAGCGTATGGGGCCGGGGTTATTTAAATCTTAAGTCGAGCTAAGCTTAGGATTAAGTCGTAAGTTGTATCGGAGAATTTATTTAATATACGCATATACAAATATAAATATACATATATTATAAATATATTATTAATTAATTAATTAATTAATATTATTATTATTATTACTATTATGATTATTATGGTTATTACGATTACTATTACCACTATTCAAATGCGAGTACAATGGTTCTCGCCGCGCGTGCACGCACGTGTGGCCCGCGTGTCACGCGTCGCTCGCGTTCCCACCGAACGCACGTCGAGCGTATCGTTCTCTTCTTCGTTCGCGATCACGAAAATTTAATGTGTTCTTTAGATGGGGTCCCGTTCGACATTTTTTTATACCAGCGCGAAATTTTTCCTGTATTCTTTGGAAAACGGGTGCTTCGGCACGATCCTGGTCGCGAAGAACGCTGATATTAAATTAACGAATTAAGTTAGTGCAATGACCACGTTTCTCTGTACGAGGATATTCTTCCGATCCAGGAACGGCTGACAGTGTACCGTTGTCGTGGACCATGGTTTTGCGAGGAATACAGCAAACATCGGTTTGTCTTACGATTTAATACGTAGATACTGCGACTCGAGCCGCTTTCAAACAATCACGATTCACCTGTCTTAATCGAATATTGCAATTTTAATCTCGATCGTTTGTATATCGTCGTTCTTCATGGATTTTAACTTCTCGCTGGTGGACGCGTTTGATGTGGACCGAGCGTTGCGGATGTCATTTACTTATTGATATTAATATTATTACGATTACTGTTGTTTATGATTACTATTTTCTTACGATTCTCTTATTAGTGAGTAAGAGTACTATGATTATCAATATTTAAATATTAATATTAATATCGAGAGTAATAATATTAATATTGATAATTGCGACGGAGTGACGGGCATGCGTCAAACGTATGCCGTCAAGATTGCAACATTTTAGGAATACGGATTTGGTTCGAATTTGACATAATTGTAGAACATCTGCAAAAGAGTTTTTAACTCAGTGTATTCTTTGAAATTGGAGTAGAATTTAGATCTGAAGTTTTTTGGTTGAAGTGAATTTAATAGCAACTAACCTGTACTGTCAGGTTGTTCAATTACTAAAGTTTTAAATCCTCAAATTATCAAACTAATTTTCAAATGACCAAGTTACTAAATCTTTAAACCTTCAAATTTACAAATATGCAGATATATAAATGTCCAAATATTTTATTAATTAGAGATTAAAAATTATTTAAAATTTCTTTCCTAATTTCAAAGAATTAACCAATTAAATAATTTCACAAAATTAATATCTGTGAACCCTCCTACAATTATGCCAAGTTTGAACCAAATATTGCAAAGTTCATTCCCCTCGCAAATGTGACTCGTTTCCATACGTTTCAGACTCGAAGCCTTAAACTCGGTTGAAACGTTTCAAATGTTAAACGTTCCTTCAGATATATCCATAAGTTTCGTTCTCCCGCACAATCGCCATAAACATTCTCCAAAGACCTCATCTGAGCGCCTCGTCCGCCGCAAACGCCTCGATCGTCGTTTTAAACTCAATTCGCCGATTTCGTACAAACGGAGACCGCCATTACATCGCGTCCCCCCATTAAAATAAAGGGGTAGAAGCAAAACGACACGCTCGACGAGGCACAGGAATCTCGTGGAGGCTTAGCTGGCCTCGATCACGCATGAACGAAGGATCTATAACGCATATTATACAATTATATCAATAAACCATGACATGTGTGCTCCTTTTGGACGTGTGATGCGTAACCTTTGCTCCAGCCAGTCGCAGAGGGAGAACACGACTCTCGAGAAGAGACCAGAAGGGACAGTAAATAAAAAAAAAAAGATTTCATCTATTCGTAGCAACGTGAGGTGTTCGCCTCGACTGCGATATATTAAAGAAAATAATAATGTCCATGCACGAATCCTTTAAACCGTGGACAATCCTCTGGCTCGAGAGAGACCAAAGGAAAACCAAGCGAATAACCAAGTTGCATAACACGTCTAATAGCGTTGATCTTCTATGATTTTAATGTGTGTTCTTGCTACTATCCGACATAAGTATGGGCCACAGCCGCACGCTGCTTGTACCTGGTACCGGAAGTGGGGCCTTTGCAGTCACCCCGTTACGGGGAACAGAGTGAGACTAGAAAATGCCGCGTTTATTGTAGCAGCTGCTGGACGCGTAGATAGGCTCTCTCTCTAGACGGAATCAAAGCGATATATTAAAAGTGATCTTAAATCGTGCCATACGGTTGCGGACAATTATTGTTAGCGGACACGTGACTTACCAATGGCTCTTCCGGTAACACGAGCGTGTTGAGTTCAGGTTGACGGGTATCAGTGCCAAACTCCATTATTCCTTTCCGATTATTCCGCTCGTTTTTTGCGGCGATCGTGATAACTCGAAGCGTAGACGCTTCGATCCACTTTCGATAGTTTCGTTTAGCAGAGGCAATCGATCGATCGCGACCGGTTTGCGCCATCTTCGTTTCTTGATACGCGGCCCGATTTTTCCGAACCTCGCGAGTTTTTTATGTTTCTTACGTTTTTTTGAAATGTTTCTAGTTGCGTCGATATTCTGATACTGCGAAGTAATTAACGATAGAGTTACAATTACTGTTACATAAGTTATTATGGCTACTGCGATAGCTTACTGTTACATAAGCTACTGCGACTTTTGAGGTTTGCAAGTTTTAGTATTGTCATCTAAATGTTCTCACACTTTCAAGTGGGTTACGTTTCTGTGAATTAAAACATTTGTGAAAGTAAGATGATGTTTTACTTTCGAAATTATAATTTATAAAGAAATCGCGGTGTTAGAATATCGACGCAAGGCGTCGTGTAAATTCTAGTTTGAATATTCCCGCGCTTTTCGCCGCGTTCCCGCGCCACGTTCTCCAGCGGTGGCGAGTACCTTGTACGATTAGCGTCCGAGTGCCGTCACGCCCTTTATCGTGTAATATTTCTAGTAATAAAGCGTTCCGCGATCGCGTCGCGGTCCTTTCTCGTCGTTTTCGCTGTTTTTTCTACCTCCTCTCTTTAGGGATCGATAACGAGCGGGAGATTAGCGCGCGGGAAT